TTGTTATGTTTTTGAAATAGTTTGAAAAAAATCTCGGGGACCACTTCTGTTTGGTTTTTGAAGCAGTCTGAAAAAATTTTGGGGACCACTTATGTCTAGTTTCTGAAGTAGTTTGAAAGAATCTCGGGCACCTCTTGGATCTGGTTTTTGAAGTAATTTGAAAGAATCTCCAGGAGCACTTGTGCCTGGTTTTTGAAGAAGTTTGAGAGAATCTCGGGCAATTTTGGGTCTGGTTTTTTAAGTAATTTGAAAGAATCTCGAACACTCCTTCTGTGTGGTTTTTGAAGTAGTTTAAAAGAATCTCGGGAACCACTTGTGTCTGGTTTTTGAAGTCTGAAAAAATCTCAGAGGCCCCTTTTATTTTAGCTTTAAAGGAGTTTGAAAGAATCTCGGATACCACTTGTGTCTGGTTTTTGAAGTAGTTTGAAAGAATTTCGAAGATTCTTCTATCTTGTTTTCGAAATCTTTAGAAAAATTTCGAGGACTTTAAGTGTGTAGTTTCTGAAGTAATTATAAAGAATCTAGGTGTCCCGTGATTACCATGACACGATTTGATTATTAGTTTTATAGTTTTGTAATTTTTTGATTTTTCTTTATTCGAAAAGTTGAAAAATCGAAAAATTAAAAATCGGGAAAAATTGAAAAATCCAAAAACTGAAAAAAAGAGAAATTGAAACATTGAAAAAACTAAAAAACGAAGAACTTAAAAATCTAAAAAAATGTATGAATTGAAAGGTTGAAAACAATAAAAAACAAATCGAATCAAAAAAATTGAAAACCCAAAAACTTACCATGACGTGAACAAAAAATTCAACCACAAATCAAAGAATTTCGGGGACAACTTGTGTTTGGTTTTAGAAGTAGTTTGAAAGAATCTCTGGCACTTCTTGGGTCTGGTTTTTGAAATAATTTGAAAAAATCTCCAAGACTCCTTTTGTCTGGTTTTTGAAGTAGTTTGAATCTCGGTAACCTCTTTTGGTATGTTTTTGAAGTAGTCTAAAAGAATCTCGGAGACCACTTGTGTCTGGTTTTTGAAGTACTTTGAAAAAATCTCGGGGTCCTCGTATGTCTAGTTTTTGAAGTAGTTTGAAAAAATCACGGGGACCCCTTTTGTTTTGTTTTTAAAGTAGTTTGAAAGAATCTCGGGCATCTCTTATGTCTGGTTTTTGAATTAGTTTGAAAGAATTTTGGAGATTCATTGTTTTGCTTTTGAAATCTTTAGAAAAAGTCTCGATGACTGCAAGTGTCTAGTTTTTGAAGTAATTAGAAAGAATCTAGATTGCCCCGTGGTTATCATGACATAATTTGATTCTTCAATTTTATAGTTTTGTAACTTTTCCATTTTTTTTTGTTCGAAAAGTTGAAAAATCAAAAAATTAAAAATCGGAAAAAATTGAAAAATCGAAAAACTGAAAAAACGAGAAATTGAAACATTGAAAAACTAAAAATCGAAGAACTTAAAAACCTAAATAAATTAATGAACTGAAAAAGTAAAAACCATGAAAAAAATCTAGAAGACTCCTTTTGTCTGGTTTTTGAAGTAGTTTGAAAGAATCTCGAGCACCTTTTTTTCTGGGTTTTGAAGTAATTTGAAAGAATCTCAAGGCCCCCTTGTGCCTAGTTTTTAAAGTAGTCTGAAAGGATCTCGGGTACCTCTTCGGTCGGGTTTTCGAAGTAATTTGCAAGAATCTCGAGGACTCCTTTCGTCTGGTTTTTGAAGCAGTTTGAAAGAATTTCGAAGATTCTTTGTCTTGTTTTTGAAATCTCCTCTGATTACCATGTCATGATTTGATATTTCAGTTTTATAGTTTTGTAATTTTTTACCATTTTTTTTTTCGAAAAGTTGAAAAATCGAAAAATTAAAAATCTAAGAAAATTGAAAAATCGAAAAACTGAAAAAACGAGAAATTGAAACATTGAAAAACTAAAAATCGAAGAATTTAAAAAACTAAATAAATTAATGAATTGAAAAAGTGAAAACCATGAAAAAGGAATCGAATCGAAAAAGTGGAAAACCAAAAAATTTACCATGATAAGAACAAAAAACTCAACAGCAAGTCTGGCTTTTGAAGAAGTTTGAAAGAATATTGGAACCGCTTTTGTTTTAGTTTTATTAAAGCAGTTTGAAAGAATCTCGGGCACCTCTTTGCTTCTGGTTTTTGAAGTAGTGTGCAAGAATCTCATGAACTTCTTGTTTCTGGTTTTTGAAGTAGTTGGAAAGAATTTCGGAGACAACTTGTGCGTGATTTTTGAAGTAAACTATGTACTAAATTAAAAATTTAGAAAAATTAATAAATTGAAAAAGTGAAAACAATTTAAAACGAATCGAATCGAAAAAGTGGAAAACCCAAAAATTTACCATGACAAGAACAAAAAATACAACAAGTCAGGTTTTTGAAGTATTTTGAAAGATTCTTGGAGGCCCATTTTGTTTTGGTTTCAAAGCAGTTTGAAAGGAGCTCGGGGACCCCTTGTGTTTGGTTTTTCAAGTAATTTGAAAGAATCTCGAAGACTCCTGTTGTCTGGTTTTTTAAGTAGTTTAAAAGAATCTCGGGAAAGTCGTTGTTTATTTTCTTTTTGAAGTAGTTTGAAAGAATCTCGAGCTCTTCTTTTGTCTGGTTTTCGAAGCAATTTGAAAGAATTTCGCGGACCCCTTGTGTCTGGTTTTTAAAGTAGTTTGAAAGGATCTCGGTCGAGTTTTTGAAGTAATTTGAAAGAACCTCGAAGGCCCCTTTTGTACTGGTTCTAAAGCAGTTTGAAAGAATCTCGGAAACCTCTTGTGTTTGGTTTTTGAAATAATTTGAAAGAATGTCGGGTACCTTTTGTATCTAGTTTTTGAAGTAGTTTGAAAGAATAGCTAGAACGTCTTGTCTCTGGTTTTTTGAAGTAGTTTAAAAGATCTCGGGAATCTCTTTTGTAATGTTTTTGAAGTAGTTGGAAAGAATCTCGGAGACCACTTGTGTCTAGTTTTGAAGTAGTTTGAAAAAATCACGGGGACCCCTTTTGTTTTGTTTTTAAAGTAGTTTGAAAGAATCTCTGACATCTCTTGTGTCTGGTTTTTGAAGTAGTTTGAAAGAATTTCGGAGATTCTTTGTCCTGTTTTTGAAATCTTTAGAAAAAGTCTCGAGGACTGCAAGTGTCTAGTTTTTGAAGTAATTGGAAAAAATCTAGGCTGTCCCGTGGTTACCATGACATGATTTGATGTTTCAGTTTTATAGTTTTGCAATTTTTCCATTTTTTTTATTCGAAAAGTTGAAAAATCGAAAAATTAAAAATCGGAAAAAATTGAATAATCGAAAAACTGAAAATCGAAGAACTTAAAAATCTAAAAAAACGAATGGAATCAAAGAAATGGAAAACCCAAAAATTTACCATGACATGAACAAAAAATTCAACAAGGCTGGTTTTTGGAGTAGTTTGAAATAATCTCGGAGACCCTTTGTGTTTGATTTTTGAAGTAATTTGAAAGAATCTCGGGTACCTGTTGCATCTGGTTTTTTGAAGTGGTTTGAAAAAATTTCGGGGACAACTTGTGTTTCGTTTTAGAAGTAGTTTGAAAGAATCTCTGGCACCTCTTGGGTCTGGTTTTTGAAATAATTTAAAAAAATCTCGATGACCCCTTTGTCTCGTTTTTGAAGTAATTTGAAAGAATCTCGGGCACCTCTTGTGTCTGGTTTTTGAAGTAGTTTGAAAGAATTTCGAAGATTCTCTTTGTCTTGTTTTTGAATTCTTCAAAAAAAATCTCCTGGGCTCCAAGTGTCTAGTTTTCGAAGTAATAAAAGAGAATCTAGGTCTCCTCTGATTACCATGTCATGATTTGATATTTCAGTTTTATAGTTTTGTGATTTTTCCATTTTTTTTATTTAAAAAGTTGAAAAATCGCAAAATTGAAAATTGGAAAAAATTGAAAAATCTCATTAGTAGTTCTTTGGGTCAATTATAAATAATGACCTCGCGCAAATGATTATACATAGAGATTTCCTTTAAGAGAGAGTGAAACTTATAGCAGAATTCGCTTTAAGCAGACAGAGTGGTCAATGACCACGTTCCGTCGAAAATCAACGAATTGCGTTTGGCAGTCACGAGAACTACTGAATCCATGGATAATAATTAATTTTTATAACAGAGTCGGTAGTTCTACGATGCACATTTCATTTCACTTTGAAAAACTTCTCTAATTACAAACTCGAAATGTCATCGGTAATTCAAGTAATAATTCAATAATACCAAAAGTGAATATCGTCCAAATCACAAAAGAAAATGCATGTGTTTAACAACATATTCAGCTTGATACCGTCGACAGAAATTTAGTTCAACAACACACTGGAAAGATAAGAAAAATTGGTTACATTGGACCGAAAATTCTTCATTGTATCAAATTTTGTAGTGAATGTGAATTGGCATTAAGAGAACATTGGGAGAAAGAAGTTGCCGAAAATTCCGATACGGTTTTAATGATAGAACATTTTTTAAACACAAAAGAAAAAAGCTGAAATTTAAGGCAAACAGACAAACGAAAACGGAGAACCTATTTTTTCCTTATCTAGAAGTCATGAACCCTACTTCAGCACTTCCGTAGTAAGCTATAACGGTAATAACAACAAAATCAAACAAAAATTCTAGAATAATTTCAAGTGAAATTCCTTTATTTTAAATCCTTGTTTGGCAAGCGGCTGTTGTGGTAAATAACTTTCACTAATAAAAGAAAGTGGCTATAGTTAGGCGCATTGTTGGTTGCCTAGCTCAAACTTTACAACTACAGATTCAAACAAAATAATTAAACATTAATTTTAAATGCAGCAACACCCAACTACTCAAACACATAAAACACAACTTCGGAAACACCCCACCGACTAAATTCGCCACTCTAAATTTCAAAAAACAACCTCACTAAACTTCTCCTCGAAATTCGAATTCAAACCGCCGCGCGCAGCGCCCCCTGCCGCATCACCGCGCACCCACCCTACAGAAACCGACCGCGGCGCTCTCATCTGTCAATTTTCCAACTGAGTCACAAGATCAGTAAAGTCAGAAGTGTGAGCTAGAGTGCACAGATAAACTCGTTGAGTGCCTTTTCACGTCAAATCGCCCCTGTTTTGCACCCCCAAGATGTCTGACGAAGTTGCCGAAAACGGACACTCCGACAACGGAGACGTGCCAGAAATCGAGCTGATCATTCGCGTAAGTATCACTTTCTTGGCCGTAATATGGGGCGTGCCTAAATTTGCCACCTACATGTTGGAAAGTTCCCCGTGAAAACTTTCTTTCGCACGCGATCGCTGCGGGGGTCTGTGTGGGGCGGCGGCGGCGGCGGCCGGAGTCGCCGATGCGGCCAAATGCCGGGCGGCCGGAGGCGGCCTTGGGCCGAAGGCGCCACTTTCGAATTTTTCGAAATTGCAAGGGTTTGACAGGGCAGTGGCGGAGGTGGGGTTGGGGCTGGGGAGCGGAATTCCCAAAATAGTGGTCGATATTGGTGGCAACAAGGGTGGGGGCAGTGCGAGAAAGAGGGAAGTGGTGGCTCGTGAAAAATATTTTTAGAAAACAGGGGAAAAAACTGTCTTTCTAAGCAAAAATTGCGAAGAAATTTTGTAATGGTGGTCTCAAATTTCCAGCTTAAACGCAGATTAATTAAATGATTGTTGAACTAACCAGAAAAGAAATGCCGTTGTCCAATGATGTATTTGTCACATCAGGTTCAAAGAACATTTTTTCGTCAGATCAAGCTGTGTGTATTATTATTATTATTTTTTTTTTTTTTCAAATTTAGCTGTCGCTTATGGTACTGTAAGAACTGATAATAAATGTGTCGAAAAAACTTTATAACAAAATATTTTTTCAAAGTGAAATTGTTCTAAAATGGAAATGTTGATGTACTTCATATTATAAATACAAAGGTAGTCAGTCAGTTTAGAATCTTATTTCTGTTTGTGTTTGTATACGAGATTCTAAATTTTATACATTATTTGATACAGTGGGTTACTTTTATTACTTCTTGACCGTAAACTAAGGAAGTATTGTAATGGAATCTATTGGACGACTGACTACTTTTATGTTTTCTCTGCGTTTCATGATCCCCAAAGTACGAAAAAACCGATCTCTCCTTTCCGTCTCTCTGTTTGTCTGCCGTCTGTCCGAATTTTTATTAGACAGATAATCTCCGAAACTACTGGACCGCTTGCTGTCAAATTTTATGTGTATTAGGAATATCATGTAGGTGATAAAATGCTAACCAAAATTTACAATACTTTTTAATTTCTTGAAATAATCCTGCATTTGTAATGATGAATGCATGTTGTGTCCTCACTGTAGACTCCACATTTTTGAAAAAAAAAAAAAAAACAAAATTGGATAACAATATTTTACAATTTAACTGAAACTGCAAAACCGAAAACTCCGAAATTTTGCAAACATTTTAAGATTTTCTTAATCATGGTAAAAGTTTTTCTTGCGCTTATGTTGGCATAACGGAAGTAATTGTGTGACACACATGTCAGTCGTGACATGCTATAAATTTAGGTTATGTTTTGGATACATTTTGCAATTAAAAATGTCAACAATCTGTCAGTCTTGACGGCTGAGAATCGGAAATTATAGAAAACATCATGATGCCAATTTCAACTAAAAAAAATCCAGGATTGCCAACAGACTCAATCATTTTTTATCATGCGGTATTAGTATTACACTGCAACTCTCAAAATCAAATCCTATAGTTTTTTGAAAAATCTGGATTTTTTTTCCTTCGGCCAATTTTTCGTTTTCCCTTTTCCTTCGATTTTACAACTTTTCCATACACAACTTTCGGTTTTTTCATCCTCATTTTTCAATTTTTTCGTCTTTCAATGTTTCGGTTTCATAATTTTTCGTTTTTCCAACTTTCATTTTTTCAATTTTTCAGTTCCTCCACTTCTAAATTTTTCGGTTTTTCGTTTATTCCATTTTTCGCTTCCCAATTTTTTAAGTTCTTGATTTTTAGTTTTTGTTTTCCTGATTTTTTAATTTTCATTTTTTCAATTTTATATGATCACAACTTTTCGTTTTTTCATTGCCTTTATTTTTTCATTGTTTCTTCAGATTTTATTTTTCGATAAAATTTTTAACTTTTCAGACTTCGATCATTCAGTTCTTCTATTTTTTAATTTTTATTTTGCAATTTTTCAATTTGTTTATGTCCAATTTTTCGAAGTTTTCGTTTTATATTTCTTCGTTTTTGCATTTTTGACTTTTCAGTTTTACAATTTTGCATTTTTCCACGTTTTTTGATTGGAAAAGTTTTTATTTTCTTTATTTCTTGAAATGGATTTTTCAATGTTTCGACTTTATAATTTTTTGTTTTTTTGAATTTTAATTTTTTCGGTTTCTTGTTTCAATTTTTCAATATTGCGATTTTTCGATATTAAAACTTTTTTTCGATTTTTCAGTTTCTCAATTTTTAGTTTTTCGATTTTTCATTTTCCCGGTTTGTTAATTTTCATTTTCTCAGTTTTATATTACAATTTTTGGTTTATTCAATTTTTCCAATTTTGCAATCTTTGGATTTTTCAAATTTTCGTTTCTTCAATTTTTCGATTTCTTGATTTCCAATTTTTACATTTTTCGAAGTTGTCATTTTATATTTTTCGTTTTTTCATTTTTGATTTTTCAGTTTTACAATTTTGCAATTTTTCGTTTTTTTTTATTCCAAAAGTTTTTTTTTTATTTCTTGAATTATTGAATTTTACAGTGTTTCAATTTTATAATTTTTTGTTTTTTTGAGTTATAATTTTTTCGGTTTCTTGTTTCAAGTTTTCAATATTGCGATTTTTCATTTTCCCGGTTTGTTAATTTTCATTTTCTCAGTTTTGTATCACAATTTTTGGTTTATTCAATTTTTTGCAATTTTTGGATTTTGCACAATCAGTGTTTAATCTTCGGATTTTTTAAATTTTCGTTTCTTCAATTTTTCGATTTCTTGATTTCCAGTTTTTACATTTTTCGAAGTTGTCATTTTATATTTTTCGTTTTTTCATTTTTGATTGTTCAGTTTTACAATTTTGCAATTTTTCGATTTTTTTTTTATTCGAAAAGAGTATTTTTTTTTTATTTTACAGTGTTTCGATTTTATAATTTTTGTTTTTTCAATTTCAATTTTTTCAGTTTCTGGTTTCTTCAATTTTTCGATTTGCGATTTTTTTATTTATTGAAAATTAACTTTTCAATTTTTCGATTTTTTAATTTTTCGAATTTTCGATTTGCAATTTTTATTTTTTTTTTTGTTTTTTCAATTTTACGATTTGCAACTTCTCCAGTTTTAACTTTTAAATTTCTCAGTTCTTCGATTTTCTAACTTTTGGAAGTTTCAGTGTTTACATTTTGCAATTTTTCGATTTGTAATTTCACGAGTTTTCAATTTTTCGTTCCCTCAATGTTTCAAGTTCTTCATTTTTATTTTTCATTGTCCCGATTTTTTTCGTTTTCATTTTCTCAATTTTATATGTATCACAGTTTTTCGTTTTTTCACTTCCTTTACTTTTTCAATGTTCCTTTCGAGTTTTAATGTTTCGTTTCTTGAATTTTTCGAATTTTCAATCTTTGATTATTCAATTGTTGGATTTTTAAATTTTCAATTTTGCAAATTTTGGATTTCGCAATTATCCGATTTTTAATTTTTCGATTTTTCATTGTTAAAGTTTTGGATTTTTCAATTTTTAGATTTTTCGAACTTTTCATTTTATACTTTTTAATTTTTTCATTTTTGATTTTTCAGTTTTACAATTTTGCAATTTTTAGATTTTTTGATTCGAATTCTTTATTTCTTGAATTATTGGATTGGATTGTATTTAATATTTCTCGAGTTTTCAATTACTAATTTTTCAATTTTTCAAGAGTTTTCAATTTTTCGTTTCCTCAATTTATCACCTTCTCAATTTTATAACACAATTATTGGTTTTTCATTTCCTTTATTTTTTCAACGTTTCTTTCGATTTTTAATTTTTCGAATTTTCAATATTTGATTATTCAATTCGTCGATTTTCCAATTCCTAAATTTTTCGTTGTTTAATCTTCCGTTTCTTCAAGTTTTCATTTTTCAGTTTTACAATTTTGCAATTAGTCGATTTTATTGATTCGAAAAGTTTTGTATCTTTATTTCTTCAATTATTGGATTTAATGGTATTTCGATTTTATAATTTTTTGTTTTTTTCAATTTCATTTGTTTCAGTTTCTGGTTTCTTCAGTTCTTAGATTTGTGATTATTCAATTTATTAAAAATTTCTAGAATTTTCAATTAATTTTTCAATCTTTCGGTTCTTTAATTTTTAATTTCTTCAAATTTACGATTTGCAGTTTCCAATTTTTTTTTGTTTCTTCAATTTTACAGTTTGCAACTTTTCCAATTTTCACTTTTAAATTGTTCTAACTTTTGAAAGTTTCAGTGTTTAGATTTTGCAATTTTTCGATTTGCAATTTCACGAGTTTTCAATTTTTCGTTTTCTCAATGTTGCAAGTTGTTGGTTTTTATTTTTAATTTTCCCAATTTTAAATTTTCATTTTCTCAGTTTTATATCACAGTTTTTCGTTTTTTCCATGTTTCTTTCAATTTCATGATTTTTTATTTATTCAATTTTTCAATTTTTCGATCTTTGATCAATTCTTCGATTTTCCAATTTGTTCAGTTTTCAATTTATAATTTTATACTTTTTCATTTTTGATTTTTCAGTTTTACAATTTTGCAGTTCTTGAATTTTTTTGTTTCGAAAAACTAAAAAATCGGAAAATATTGAAAAATCGAAAAAGTGGAAAATCGAAAAAATTCAAATCGAACTGAAGAAACAAAAAACTGAAACCTTGAAACACTAAAATCGAGAAACTTAAAAATCGAAAAAAAAATTAATTGAAAAATTTAAAAACCCAAAAATTGTACATTCGAAAAATTATAGAATTTGAGCTACTGGTTTTAACTTCATATAGGTTATCAGAAAACAAAAATCTCAAAAAAATTTTGTAGTTTTTCAAAGACGAGTGATTTGTGGGACTGTACTTCAAAGGCGAGGGAAATTCTGTCAAAATAACCTTCGACCAATTTTTTTTTAATTTTTCAATTTTTCTCTTTTTTTCGCTCATCTAATGAACTTGAGCTTGTTTAACGTTTAACGTAAATATAAACACGACCTAATTTTAATGTAATCATAAATGTAGCTTCTCAA